ACATTTGAGACTCTTTAAATCTTTAACTCTAACCAGTATATCAATATGTATATCATCGATATGTATAATAATTTTTCTCATTTTGTATGTTACACAATTTGTGCTTATGTTATATATGTATTAAAATATCCTGAACTTAAAAAGAAAAATAAGAAAATTGTAGGTTGATTCTATAATTTCATCATGTAATTTATTACATATCAGAATTTCTAATATTTCAGAGTTAATTATATAACAGTATATAAAATAAATGTGTAACTGTTTTCAAAGTTATCAAAATTTCATATTTATATAGGATATAACAAATTAAAGAAATCTACTTGTATATGTGTATATATGTCATAATTATATTGATTATATAAATGTTTTAACTCAAATTATAATAAAAATTAAGTTTTTGAAAGTGTGTGACGGTGTGTTGCTTAGTGTTTATACACATCAAAGTTTGTTATTAATTGCTACTTGGATTTATTAAAAACATTTAGATTATCATTTAAGTAATTAATTGTGAATTTCGAAAATGCTACGGAATATTAAAAGAACTGGTGCAGCTCAGTTAAATAACAGTTTAAATCTATGATGCTTCGTTGCATTGCGTTTTTTGACATTGTATATAAGGAAAAATTCAAATTGTAAACAAAAAAAAATTAATGCTATATTTAAATAATCTTTGTGCGTATTATTTGTACATAAAAAAAAAATCGTTTGTCATCTATTTTATTGTCAAAACAAATACAATTTAATTTAACTGAAACTGAGTTTTACGAAACTGAGTTATGGCTCTCTCTGATGTCATTCAACAACTCAAAATGAGAAATAAAAAAAGTTTTCAGATTTTCAAAATTCAATTTACTTGAAATAAATAATTTTCAAAGTTATTGAGTATTTCGTTTTCATATACCATAGTCCATAAATATATTGAGAAATATTATCACATTAGAGAAAATTAGGCACGTATATAAAGTATTTATTGTTCCATAATTAATTAATTTTCTAGAAAATTTCTTAAATTTTATCAAATCTTATTTTATATAAGAACAACATTATATTTTTTCAACAAATCATTTGTACATACATTTATAAAATATTATTCTGTTATAATTATAACTATATTTAACTATAAAAAATTGATATTGAAAATATTAAGAAATTCAATACTTTTTCTTTTCTATAAAATAAAACCTCAAAAAAAAATTACTTGGTTAACTATAAAATTATGGTTTCGAATTTGACCTCTTCCAAATGTATCAATTTATATTATTAGAGAATAAAAAAAAGGAAAAAAATGTGGTGCAACTATTTTCGTATATACCATTGTCAATTATACTTTTATCTATGTATGTATAACAAATTTCGTCTAGAAAAGTAATAGAAACAGAAAAATTATTTTTTAAAATAAAATTCTAAAATTGAATGCTTATACGAGTATAACTTTATTAGAAACATCTGTTATTTTAGCATAAATTATTAAAAATATTTTTGAGTATTAGTAATTTATTGAATTTAATATTGAAATCGATTTCATATTTTAAAAAAAAAAACTTAAAAATAGTTTATTCAAGTACCATAATCAATTTACTTTAACTTTAAAATAGAAAATTAATTAATGTATTTTTTTTTTATTAGAAGAAGAACCGCATAAGTGTAAGTGAAATATAACAGATATAAAAATTTTACCAAATAAGTACTATAAAATATTTATTAAAGCACTCATAGAAGCCTTAATTACTTTTTCTTTAATGTCAAATAATTTTATTGTCATTTAAGGTGACGAAACATAACGATTATTAACGATATATTTCGATAAAAATCAAATCTAACCAATAAAATTAGGCTTTTCGACCAAAGTTGGTTTAAAATTTTTCGTAAAATACTACTATCAAAAGAAAATCAAGTCAAAAAATGCAATTTGGAAATTTATTCCAAAATAGAGGCAATTTTCTGAGTTCTCAAATGACTAATGTCTGATAGGAATAATTTTGTGAAATTGTATAAAAACTAAAATTTTCTTAGAAAAATTTAGTTATAAAGAAAAAATTTTAAGTGAAAGATTAGTCATCTTGAATTCCAACAGTTTGTTTCAGTGTCTTAATTAGCTGCTCTGACTCTAGTATAGAATAAAGTAATTGAATGCACTCTATAATATTCAAATGAGTGTATGTATTAGCCATCGCGTTAATAATTTTATATTTTTTTAAAATATTATTTTTTAATTGTTAATCCTCTTTATTTTTTAAAATTCGCGGATCTATAATTCACAATAGAATTTCATGAATTTTGTGTAATTCATATATAAGACAATATATATATAGATTCACATGTATGAAATATTTATTTAGAATTATAGGTTGTTCTAGAAATCGTATTCAATTATACTTATAATCTGGTGATGAATTTCAATCAGCTAAAAGCGCAAAACAACCTCTCTTAGAATAAGACGAACAGATCAGCTTTCAACATTTCACCTATCAGTTTTCTTTTTGTACAATTACAAAATGATTTGTGTCGCATTTACGACGCTTTCGGATTATATATGAGTTGTCAAAACGTGACATATTCTTGTTATAATTCTGTCATTTTGCCTGCTTATAATTCACAAGTATTACTACTTAAATCATTCAGAATTATTGTTCGAATTTATTTATTTTTTAAGTAGCTATACAAATAAATTATGTACATATCATTGTAAATATTATAACTTTAAAAATTTCATGTAATATGCAAATTTTATGTTAATTAAGAATTTATTTATTCACTTTTAAAAAATTTTTAGTTATTGTTTTATTTTTAATAAAATTTATAACTTTTATAGTTCCAAACATGCACACTTTTCCATGTATTTTTATTGTTAAAATTAATTTTTAATTGTTTTCTTAAATTTATTTAATATTTTTTCGCTTAAAAAGTACACACATATCTACCCACATTGCAAATACAAACATAATTAGGTACATGCTTTATTTTCAATGTAGATTCCTTTATATATTGTAAATTAATTATATATACAATGTCATAAGGTTTGTAAAAAAAGAAGAGCATAAAACAAAAATCAATTAAAAATTCAATTAAAAAATAATTTTGTTAAAATTAAAATTTTCATTCACAATATTGTTTTTTTTTTTTTTGTTTTTTGCTTCATTTGTTCTTACGTTTTTACACTACTGCACTACATTTAACACATAATAATTATTGTTGCGTATTTGGATGTACATAAAACATAGAGTGCATGTATAGCAAACGTGTACTGGTTCTCTTTTATGAACTGTTAGTAATGTACATATATGTGTATACTTATATAATATAAAGTTGAACAAACATAGAGGAGAGCTACTTAAAATTTAACTTAATTTCCGTATTGTTTATATATTTATTTTAATGATATACTACTTGTATGCAACATGTATATGGCAGGTATACTTATTTGAGTATTCTGTACCCGTATAACAGAACTTTTAATAAAAGTAAAAGTAAAAAACAAAAAATTACTTTTCATTCATTAAAATATAAGAAAAAAATCTCATCATTTTAAAAGCTCAAAGTTCACTTTGTTTTTTTCATTTTTACTTTATTTCCTTTTGTGTTATACAAACATTAAACATAATGTCATTACTATTCTTTTTATACCGTTATTATTATAAAAAACAGAATTTTAAGAAAGGGTGATTTTTTTAATTGATAATGATTTTAAAATTTAAGGAAAAATTTTAAGAAATTTAAAAATTTTGAATATAATTTTTATTTGAATTGACAAGTCAATTGTTGTCACTTAATTTTTTATTTATAATAATAATGATTTTAATTATTATAATAATAATGATTAAATTAATTATAATAATTTATAATAATTTCCAAGAACCAATCGGATCAGTTTTAAAACATTTTCTTGTTAATCTCGGTTGGAATATTACCGACCGAATTATTTTAATAAACGGGTTTATTATAATTTCTAAAAGTCTATAATCGATTTCAGATAATCGATATTATAACATTCAATAGAAAACAATCGAAATTGTATGTCAAAATGAATTACCTTCATCAGTGTTCAATAAATTTGGCTGATTCACAATATTAAATTAAAAGACTGATCGTGTATCTTTCTTGAAAGACTGATCGTGATCTTTTATTTGAGTCATCTTTTTTATTCCTTTTTTTAAAATTAGAATGGATTTTTGCAGTTTTATTTAAATACCGACTAGAACTGGTCAATTTTGAAAAACAAATTGAATGAAAGGTGACTAAATTTTGTGTCCATTTTGGAATGAAAAAGATATCCGCAATAAGAAAAGAGTTTTCTTACTTGAAAATTACATTATACAAAATATTGCTATAACACTTACTCACTTTGTTCTCATTCGGTGAGGAACACGGTAAAATTAGCGAAATACACAATCATGCCTTAAATTTTAATCGATTCTTAATTATTAGCATTCTTAATTAATAATTATTGGTAATTATTAGGAATTTGAAAGAATTTTATTTTACTGTTAGCCACATCATATTTCGAAGTCACAAATCAAATTTAATCGATTTGGCGTTGTCAAATGTTACGAATTATGTTAGTAATAAAAACGTAAAAATCCAAACCGCAATAAAAAAAACCACCCTTTATATATTGTTTTAGGTGCGTATATTCTTTATGTTTGTTATACAATATGCACTCTTTTTTTTTTTCATGGATGTTTGTATATTTTGATATACTTTTTTATACATAATAAATATGTGTATGCATGCATGTATATGTATTGTAAAATAATGAAATTATGAAAATATTCGCTTACATGTTAATTTTAGTTTTTACATAAAAAATATTTAAATTTGAATACTTATAATACACTTAAATTTTAACCCTATAACACACACACACGTACGTACAATAAATCAAAAGATTTTATTAAATTTGAAATTCACCACAAATTCAATTTATTTTTATTCCATATTTTTGTTAAACAAAATATAAATTTAATGAGTTTGTTTGAATATCAAAATAAAAATGTTAATACCCTTAGAGAACACACAAAATGTTGTTTACATTTTAAAAAAAAAATTTAATAATCAAATCAATTACTAAAAGAAAAACAAAATAAATCAAAATAAAATTAAATAAAACTACTTCCGGGTCTACACTACTTAAAAATATTGGTACTTAAAATATTTTATGTATATTTAAATTTAAAAAAAAATTTAATATTTTCGTTTTTTTTTTTTAATTTTTTTTTCTATTTTTTCACATTACATTTAATATTGACACTCAAAGATACATGAATAAAACACCGCGTATAATTTATGCGCTCTCCAACGTTTCCAAAAAATCCAAATTTTTTAACGGTATTTATTATTCGACAGTATCACAGCTACTGAAAAATATGATGATGCTCTTCTGTTATGATTAAAATTTCTAAAAGGAGAATGAAGATTTTTTTGTGTTCTTTTTTGTATTAGATAATGTTGCCGAACAAAGATTACAAATACATTAATATTTTTAGATTTTTTGTATCAAAAATTTTTATATGTATTTTTATACGTATTGAGTTCATTTTTGCAGTAAACACATTTTTGATACATTTACTCAGTTTACATGATAGCATCAAGTGTACTTAAAACCTATTTAATGCTCTTATAAACATTGCTTGATTTGAAACCGGCTTCACTTAATACAATGAAAAAATTTTGTTTACTTAACTTAAAATGTAATAGCTAAATGTCATTTCCGGGCTTTACTAGCGAGGTAAAAACACGGCTTGTGTTTCGAAATGATTTCAAGTCACGTACTCAAGCTGTCATATAAATGAGGTAATAGTTAAGAATTTCATATAGTGTTTTCTATTAAAATGTAAATTAGTAATCAAATAGTTTGATATTTTTACAACATGATTGCAATTTTTTAGTTATCGAAATCGATTTGAATTGCTTAGATGAACGCCCAACGAGTAGCAGTCATTTACAAATCAACAATCAAGCAGTAATTTGCAAAATCAAAAATTATATGAATGCTTGAGTCCTTAACTTTCATCATAATTTTGAATATATTTGTAGTAAATCTGATACATATATATAAAATTTAATTCCGCACTCATATAAAATGTTAAGAAACATTTTAGTCTGTATCAAAATTAAAATGTTGAGAAACTTTTTGTTTTTTTTTTATGAAAATAATGATAATGATTGCAAAAATTATGTTGCTATGCAAAACAAATACATTCACAAAACAAAAATATTAATCATAAAATAACGGGAAATATACAAAAATATTGTACATATATGTAGATGTATATAATATACATATAAATAATTTTTAACAAATAATCATACATATAGGGACTACACATATTTTATATGTATGCATATACGGATAGACTGAAATCTGTTGTTGACAATTTGTACCCGTTATATTGTAGAATAGATTATTATAGAATAAATACAAAATCATAATATTGTGGTAAGTATATAGTCGTATAGGTATACATAGGTGCAATAATGCGCATTAAACATATATTTGTGTTTATATATTTGTATGTATATATACGTAAAGGAATTTTATAATGCAACAGTTGATAAGATTTTAAAATTAAATTCATATTTATATTGTATAACATAAATATATAGGCTATGTATAAATAATTGAATTAATAAATTTCAATATACATACATATTTATAAAATATTAAAGAAAATTTTGTGAATTAAAATAAAATTACTTTCTCACGACGAGTACAATATGAATTTTAAATTCTTGTTTGTTAAACTTTGTGTACCATTCAAATTGTGATATTTAAAGAAAAAAAAAATTATTGTATTCATTTCACTAATTATTTATTCATTTTGATTGAAATTTTTTAAAAGTGATAAGTGCCTTTATGAAAAATGCTTTGTGAATATTTTTTATAAGAATAAAATTTTTATGTTTACGTTAAATTTTACCCAAATACAAAGGATATCCTGTATAAAAATCACGAAGAAACCTTATATGAATGAATGAATAACCATGCAAGTAGAAATTAAAATGTTTATAAAAAAAAAAGTGGATATTGAACTCAAGTACAGAAAAGAAGTCTAATTAATGAATCAGTCTTCTTGTATCCTGCAAACGTTCTTACAAATTTCTTGCAAATACTCTCGATATCTCGATGTGATGTTTCGTTATATATTTTCGACTGAATATGGAGCCAGAATGGAACTATTTTTTTGGAATGGAGCAGACTTGTCGCTTTTGTGGAAGCTGGCTAAATTGGATGTCAAGAATTTAAATAAGAATCCTTAAGAAACTCTGCTTGATTAAGCTAGACGGACTATTACCGTTCAAACCAAAGGCGGTTTGATTTCTAGTATAACTCAGATATCAGAACAGCATATAAATAGATTTTAATTTAAATTCAGCTATAGTCCCGTCTCAGTGAACATTTTAGTAAAATTACCAGATTTTCAGATTTTGAAAAGTGAAAATGTTTATTTGAATTTAACATTTTACGGTGCTACCAACCAATTTTTTGATTTCCTTTTCAAGTTTAAAAGATTATTATATTTAAATCAAGAACTTTCTAAAATTGTTCATTTGAATTGACGCTTTAGTTCAACTTTGCAATATATATATGAGTGTCTTAAGACATAGTATAGAAATTTCCAAATTAAGAAATATGGAAAAAATTTACCCATAATAACAAAAACAAAGAAAATTAAAATATTTTTTTAAACACTTGAATTTTTAATGTTTTTCACAAATTTAATTTTTCCCCTATTTCAATTTTAATTTATCACTGTATAACAGATAAATGACTGCGAATTACGAAAAAAGGTGCGAAACTTTTTCTTAAACATAAAAACAAAAATTATCGCTAAGAACAATACAAAAAACGAGGAAAATACAAAAAAAAATTCATTTTGTAATTATTTATAAATAAATTAAATTGGCCTTTTTTTAGCCAGTCATTTTAACATAAATACAAACATACATACTTACAATCAGCCCTACGAAAATGTAAATATCTTATGAACAGTAGAATCCCTGTATAATGAAGTTCACTTTTTACAATTGTGAAAATTAACTGAAAATTTGAAAAAAAAAATTCAGCACATGTTTCAAAATAATTTTTAGAATTTGAATTTCGTACCGAATATAAGTTGCTAACGTATGTAAAATTGCGTAATTCATAACTATTAAAACCTGCGATATTTAATTTCCAACCGCCTTTCATAAAATTCTCCTTCAACTATCTCATATATGGTCACTCCATTTCTTTTTCATGTTCCAATTATGAAAACATGATCAACATGCAAAAAAAAAAGAAAACAGTCTTCAAGTACGATACTCACTTTTTATCTATGTTTCCCAACAACTGCAATATGTATGAGCCTCAATTTTCGTGGCTCAACAGAAATTTTTTTTTTTGTATAAAGGTGATGTTATTAAGAAAATTTAATTTGAAATGAATCCTGTATATTTATTGTCGACTTTAATAAAGTTTTTCTTAAAATGATTTAAATGAAATTCATTTATAGAAAAACTCTATATACATTCATATACACATAATATATATGTATGTATAGGTATAGATAAGAGTGCCCGTTTATGTCTATAAAAATCACTGTTACATAAATAATTGTTCCTTTTTTATTAGTTTAAGGATAATGTTAATCTCATATTAAATATACATTTTGATAAATTTGTAGGTATGTATTATATGTACGTATATGTTTTTGTATTAATGTAGTATTATATATATATTTATATATATATATATAACTAAATAACAAAAGGTGAAGATGTCTATTCAAATTCAATAATAGAAATTACGATAATGATGGGGAGGGGAATTGCAAGTATAAAATTAAATTAATTCTATAGAATTTTCTCTTTTTTCTCTTTTCAAGGATAGTTTCGGAGAATTGAAATCATCAGTGTCATTGTATGAATAATAATGTTTAATTTTACTTACATGCTTTTTTTTTTAAATATTTTTACTTTTAAATATCTTTAATTAAAATAATTAGAAAGAACAAGTTATTTACAAAAATAAAATAAACTCGGATAAGGTTTATATTCTAAATAACAAATATCGTATCGGAAGGAGGTGAAGTGCAGCAACTTGTTTAAAAAATTAAAAACTAAACTGTTTGACATTTATTTTTCGTAAATGTAAATAAAAAAATAAGAAGCCATCTGTCGGAGAAAATTTATCAAACTATTACTCTCGCATTGACTCCTCGTTCATTACAAATTCCCACTTAAAACTATTGTTATTTTACATTACTATCCATCTTACTCTAATTGCAAACTTTTAAAGTGGGAATGGAGTACTGAAAGAATTTATGCATCGATTTAAGTACACAATAAATGTCGAAAATACAATATTTAAATTTAAACAGTTTAACCCATAGATTAACTAGCAGCTTTTTAAAATTTTATTAATTTTTTACTCAAAAAAATATTGCATATAAATTAGGCGCAGTTATATCACAAAACTAATTTGAATTCACCTAACTACGAGGGTATTAAAGTGATGTGGTCGTAAAAAAATTTGGAAAGAAATTTAATAAATATTTATTTTTCCAGCCCACAATATAAAATCTCAAAAAGAAAGAAATTGTTGTTGTGTATAATGTAAGCATCTCAATCATTCACGATTTATTAAAAAATTAAAAATTACACCAGTATCCTTTTTGTATTTTATAAAATGATAAAAAAAAATTCACGAAACACTTTTGTATTTATTTATTTAAATATAATAAAAATTTATCAGTTTTGATATTGTAAAACTTGTTGTCCTTCAAAAATCAGTTTCTATCATATTGTTTCCCTCACTGAAGTACACACATTTCGTATAAAGGACATTGTTTTTTTTAAATATATGCGTATGTATAAATGTGTTCAAAATACGCACATTTTTATTAAAAATAAATTTTTGTAAAAATAAATATTTTTAGGTTTTTTTTTAAAAAAAAAATTGAAGGACAAATTTATGTGAGAAAAGTTTTCTTTATTTATATAAAAATAAAGCCATTACGTGAGACGAAAATGAATACAAAAAAAAAAAAAAAGAAAAAAAAAAACAAAAATAAATTTTCTCTCAAAGTTGAAACTCCTCACGATATGCAAATTTTCTTTTGCTTTTCCTACGCAAAAAATTTTGTAATGGTCACATCTGTGACCTTAAAACCGTTTCTCATCAATATCGTATTTTTTTTTCTCTTTTTTTTCACATTTTTCTTCATAACTCTTCTAATAAGAACAAATTGAGAAAATGAACCTGAACTTGTTATAGCTATTCATCTTTTTTCGATATTTTTTAGTTTAGAAATTTTATGTATTGGTAAAAATTACAAATTACACTTTTGTTATTTTTTTTGTTTTTTTTATAATTTGCATATAAAACTCTAATAATTTTGACAAAGCATAAATTAAAATTTGTTTTTTCAGTAAAAAATTTTGATATTTTCAGTTGAATTTCTTCTATTCTTTTAAAAATATAAAATATATGATTCGAAAAATATTCTCCTAATTTAAAAATTATACGTACATTAAATAAAGAGATAATATTCAGGTTTCATGCTCTTAAATGTTTTTACGAGCCGAGTTTAAAACAATAAAGACAAGTCTCAAAATAAAAAGGGCCAAACTGTAAAATCCGAAAATAAAATTAACAAAAGAGAGGCAATAGTTTGAATATGTGCATTTTCCATAATATATATCTCTTTCTTTCATAAATTTATCGCTTTCTCACGAAGATAATTGCAGTAATCAAATTTCACTCAGTGTCACGGAAATTATATTTTTAGCGGTGTAAGTTCACAATAGTGAAAAAAAATCGCATTCATTTTATGAACATAGAGTTTCTATATTATCTCCAAAGATAGTCTTTTTCAGCTTTTTGATACGACTGGATAAATAATTAACACTCATTAAATGATTTCAAAGTAATCCATAAATTTATAGTATATCACAATATTTAACAATTAATTTTTTTAAAATTAAATGCATTTATTTTTTTTTATAAAATTTTTTTTTTTATTAATTTTTTTTTAAGTACATTATCCGTAATTCTTAAAAGTTATCGTTATATAATTAAATAATATTTAATAATTAAATTCAGTTACATAAAATATAATTATTCTTTAGCAATTATTCTTTGGTACAGAAACTATTTTATATAATGTTAATTTATCTTTAATAGAAATATGCATATATTTTTGTATCTCAAAGTGTAAGTATACAGGATATTAATACCGAATATATCCTATATTAAAATTTATTCAGCTTTAATATGTTATATATGCAATACTTGTAATTCATTTCATTTTATTTGACATTTTTTTAATTCAGTAAAAGAATATATTTTTTAATTTAAAGAATTTTTTGTTAATATATTTTTTTTTTACATTTTCTTTATTTTTTTTTTAATATTTATCAGTCTTAAAACAATAATATCACTTAAAAACTGGATTTTAAAAAATTTTTAATGATTTCTTCACAGTAATTAAATTTTATTTTTTATATTTTAAATTGAAATTTAGTGATATTTTGAATCTGAATATTTTTAATTGTTATATGAAATTTATATTATAATTTTAATATTTTAAATAATTTATTTTATTTTTTAAAATTAACAAAATTCTTAATTAATAATTACAAAGTTTTCAAGCTCATTTCCTACCAAGTCAATTTTTTTTTCTTATTATTTGCTCAAAATTATGGTTTTTTAAAGATTTTCTTACAACATTTCATTTTAAAAAAAAATTTAGAACACATTCATTAATTTTAACAATATATAAATAAGTTTGTAAACTAAATATATAAAAAACACATTTTTTGTGAAAATTAAAAAACAATCATTTTGAAACAAAAATTGACAAAACAAATGACATAACAAATAACTTAAACTATAATGCTTATTCTATAAAATAAATATTAACATTTAACCCATTGACGGCTATCAAAGTCTCTTATCAAGATCTACTTGCTAAGAAAACAAAAAAAAAATATATCTGAAGTATTTTGTTCATTTGTCTTTCATATATTTTGTTTATAATATTTCAAATTTTGTCAATTTTATAAATTTGGCCTGCAAAATAAATTTTTTTGAGAAATATAAGGTGCCCGTCAACAGATTAAGATGTTTTTGTCTTGTAAATAATATTTTATTTAATATTTTTTTTTTTAATTTTTTTAAATTTTCGTCATACCTTTCTAAATATTAATTTTTTTAAACGATATATAAAACGTAGCGCACTATTAAATTGAATTTCAATTGTAATATCCTATAGTTTTCATTAAATTTTTTTTTTTAAATAATTTTACATTTCTCTGTGAGCTTATAATTGTGACCTGATTATTATAAAAATGTCTGTAATTTCTGTATTTTAATTTTAATTAACATTAAATAAATTTTGGTTGCCTAGTTAATCCATAGAGTTAATCCCTTTTCTTTTCAATGTCTATACATAAATTTTATATTAATATTTTCGAGATCAATCTTAAGTACTTTTAATTTAACAATTCTTTGAATTCATATAAAATGTAACAATACAATTATATAACTATTTTGATTAATGAAAAATAATTTAAAACAAATATCAATTTAGTAACAATTTAATTTTATAACAAGCTGAGCTTATCAGTATTATTTGTGAAATATTTCTTATATATTAATTTAAATTGGGAATTTTTAACAACTCAAAATATCCAGAAATTAATTTTATTTTGATCGAGTACTACTTGGCCATTCTTTTTTTATAAATTATATGTAAAAATAATAATTTTAAACTTGTTAAAAATTATGTTGGAATAACTTTCATTTCAATTAAAATTTGTACTACTATTAAAACTAAATAAACTGATATTAATGAAAAACCAACAGTTCTTCGTAATCTAAATCCTGATACTGATAATATTATAAAAAGACTAGCTGTTGATAATAATAAAATTCCAAATGTATATTGAATTCCTTGTGAACCAATTTCAATACCATAATAATTATCATCATTTCGATGTAATAAATTATGAATAAACCATGGTACACCCAATGATAAAAGAATTGCTAATGAATTTGCTCCTAATGAATTACTAACACCAATACCACTTTCACCTAAAAAAATAACATATAATTTAGAATATCATTTAAATACAAAAAGTCACTTATTAATATAATTTTTGCATATTATTTATTACCTTGTCTTATAGATAATAAACTTGACATAGCTTCCGGCATCGTTGATCCAGCAGAAACAAATGTAAGACCCATGACAATGTCTGGCACACTTAATGTAACCCCTATATATTTCAAAAATTAAATGTTAATAATTTCTATCTTATGTACTTAAATTGGTTTTTAATTTTATAAATTAATAATAATTAATATATAACTTACCAAATACTGTAAGCATCCATACAACCATATATGAAATAATACCAATAAAAATTATACAAATTATAAAAGTTAATGGATACCATTTTCTATTTTTAACTGGATCAGGAACAATTATTCGTAAAATAAATTTAAGTGGCCATGAATAGAAAAACCACATTTTTGCAAAAATTCCATTTGGTATTTTAAATAAACTGCTTGGTTCATTTTTATCGTCTGAATCAGTTTCAACATCTATATAAATAAATAAAAAAAAAATTTAGTATTCGTGCATAATCATCTTAAATTTCAAAAAAATTAAATTGTTCTAATATAAAAATAAAGGTTATATAAATTTTTAATACGTACCATTGGGAGCTTTTAATTCATTATTAAGATGAAAACTTTTTTGACTTATTATAAAAATATTATGATGATGTGGTTCTTCTCTTCCAGTCTTACCCATTGGTAATTTTGCTTTTGAACTTCTTTCAGGTGGTACAGTAAAATCTAAAAAAATTATTGGAAAAATTTATAATATTATAAATAAATATTTACTATCCTTGTGGTTAGAAATGAATTTTTTCATTTCTGACCCTGGGATATATTAAAACTATATATGTATTTTTTATTTAAATACAATTATAATTCATTAATTACCATATCTTGTTGAATTACAACAATTAAATTTATCTTCAATTAATACTCTTGTTCTTTTCATAATTGGCTTATTAGTGAACATAACAACATAATAAAGTACTAAAAGTCCAACCATAACGGATGTTTCAGTCAATGTAATAACATAATCCCAACTAACAATAACTAAAACAATTGTATTAAAACTATAAAATATACAATCTCTTATGACAGGCCACCAATCTAATTGAACAGACTAAAAAATATTAAAAAAAAAATATACATTTAAAAAAATATTTCATAATATACATTATAAATTAAATTATAATACCTTTTTAATAGCTAAACCAGACAATGCAGCTACCCCTAATGTATTAAACATAAGTGAACCAATAATATTTCCGACTCCCATATCAGATTCCGTAATAAATGTACTTATAGTATTTGTAAAAAATTCTGGCATAGATGTAGCTGTTGCCATAAATGTTGCTGCAGCAACATCTTTTGATATATGTAAATCATTTGTAATATTTTCAACACATGGTAAAAAATAATCATTACAAACAATGCCCAATAATGTAAAGAAATATATGGCACATAATAAATGTAATATGATAGCACCTTGTTTCCTTTGTTCCTCTGTAAAATTAAGAAATAAATATATTAGAAAAAAGCTCATATGATCGACAAACTCTTGTATTTTAAAAAAATTTCATAAATTACCGTTCTTGGTAACGAACATTTATCTTGTAAGTTAAATGTTTCAACTACACTTACATTTCATATATGATTTCATAATGCATGCATATTTTTGTAAGCGTTGTTTAACTTATTAATGATATGCTTAAATATCATTAATAAGTTCAAAAAAATGCTATATAACTCGTATGTACATACCTGTAAATAAATCTTTTGGAAATTCAGCTAAAGGATCATCATCTTCTTCTTCTCCTGCTCTTATAAAATCTGCCGGCCAATTATCACGCAAATTATGTACATTTAATACTGTTGTATTGCTTTGGTTTAATACTAAAAAATAAAAAGAAAAATTAATAATTTTTCTAATTAAAGGTATTTTATGTGAAATGCGTAAATTGAAAATTTAAATATATTTAGATAAAAGTAATAATTTAATTTTCAGTTAAACACAAAAAAATATGTTCAACTACAAAAATGTCATTTTATTATTGGTATGTGATGTTGCCATTTACTGAGCGATTCCGAGTCATTAACCCTTATTATGTTTTATCGTAAATTTATGATTTATGGGTATATTTTAAATTTCGAAACATATTTAATAAAAATATTTTGAAATTTAATGTCATTCAACTTTATCTACTCATTTAATATTGGAATTTTAAGAAATGTATTTTAAAATAACCTATAAAATCTCTTTTCATAAGAATGTAAATAAAAAAAAACAATTCCATGTAATTCATTTTAGGTAATTTTCTGAGTTTCTTAATAATTTAATATATTTTTAATAACTTCAAATTGTGAAATAAAGTATAATTAAATTTTATTTTTTAAAATATGATAACAAATAAAGGGTTTATGCAATTGACTCGTTTTCGGGCAACAAAATAATTAACCTGTTTTTGGGTATTAAATTTAAGTCAACTAGATGTCGCCTCTTATAGTTTTATGAGAATATTTTAAAAATTGCTTTTGGCAATTGATTAACTTGAAATTTTTCGGAATAAAAGCGATGAACAAATGTTAATTGGTAATTTATCAAATTTTACATATATTTTGACATATAACTTTCAAAACTATTAAGTTTACTTCAAAATGTTTATTCAACTAGCGTAAAGCGGGCACTGTAAAGGTGAACGTTATTTTATCGAGTTCCTGTAATAATTTTTCAAAAACTTTTTACTTAATTGTTAATTTTCGTGCAAGGAATGTAAATATTCGTGTGGCTATTTATAAGTTTCTTTACAGAAAAGTCAATATTTTTAAAATGTATAATTACATATGTAGATTTATGTAAGTTCAAAATTTTTAAATTAAAAAATAAAAACGAATTTATTTTTAGAAAATTGTTAATTGGAACTTAATTTGTATTATTTGTCATAGTTATAAAATAATTTTTTATTTTATTTTTAATACTATTTTTAATCTAATCGTATATATAAAATAAAATTCAAATTTTCAATTAAAAAAAAAATGATTTTCAATTTTCGTTTCGCGGTATTAACTCACTCGACATTCATTTACTCATATTTTTATTTTTTGACGTCATTTTAATATGAATATTAGTAAATGGATGACATTTTCATAGAACGACCAACAAAAATTCTTAAGAAAATATTTTAATGTAAATATATTTAAATAGGTTCACATTTTTAATTACAAGGTAACCAACTATCAAATTATTATTGTAATCTCTAATTTTTCTAAAAAAAAAAAGAAAAAATCAATAAAAATTGTAATATTTCAAAAATAGATTATTTACAAAAAATGCCCGTTTATACATACATAATTTCATTCAATTATTATTTGAAGTAGAATATTGAATTACTTAATTAAAATACAAGTACCTTTACTTACATATTTAATATCTATGTATTTATTATCTTTCTTAAAATATGATGGCTAAGCGATAATAAAAATTTTTTTTTGATATTTTAAGTACTATTGACATTTTCACATACTACATGCGTACAAATATAATTAAATATTTCTTAATTGAAAAAAAAAATAAGAAAATAAAAATTGAATTAATTTTAAATTAAATTCACTTAAAAAAAGCTTTTGCAATTTGATATTTTGAAATTTTTTTTATTATTATTGTTATTATGTACTAAAAATAAAATAATATTGCAATCTCTTGTGGCCGATAATTAAAAAATAGAAGAAGAAGAAGAAAAATAACAGCAATTTGACACTTCAAAAAATATCTATGATTCTTATCATATTAAATTGGATTTACATATACACGTACACAAACACATAATTCTAACTTGAAAATATAATATTGTGGTTGTCATACAAGCACCTATACCGCGCGTATACTTATCGTTCAAATTTTGTACTTTATTTTTGTTTTACACAAAATATCTACTATAAAAAAAGGTATTTGAATTTTTATCAAAAAAAAAAAAAATAAATTCATAAAATTTAATCAATATTTTCAATTCATACAAATAATTAAATATAAAATTTTTATTATTTTCTCTTGTAATTATTATTCTATGAATTTAATTATTTAATAAAAAAAATGAATGAAATCAGATATTAGAATTTGAAGTACTTTATAGTATACAGGTACAAGTAGTAACAAAAATGTGTATTTGAAAAAATTAATTAATACCGTAAACTTTTCAATTTACAATCTTCTAATATAACAGTTTCTAATCCAGTGGTGGATTTTTATATTATTGTAAAAAATTTGTGTCCTGGTGGAGTATAGAATAAAAATTGCAAATTACATTAATTTTTTATTTAAATTTCGCCAAAAATTCAAATTATATTTTGTTATACATTTGAAATTAATTAAATATAATTTAATAAGAGTGAATTAAATCAAATTAGCATAAAAAACCAAAATTAATTTTAAAATTTAATATTTAACTTAATTTTTAACTTAATGTAAAAAAAATTTTATTTTATTTATTTCAAATATACTTTTAATTTTTACCACTTGAGACGCTCAATTCATTTAATCCGCTACTGTGTTTATATATTAATAAGAAATTCAAGTATAGTAGTTATATTGATAAAAATTTTTGATCTTCAATAAATTCTTTAATCTGGTCAAAGTTTCTATTTCTTATTATATTGTATATAATAAGTGGTATAATAAATTTTTTAATTCAATTGTTAATCACCATGTTATACCCGTGTATTTTATCAATTTGTGTATATACTTATTACTTTTTCCTGTATACTGTTACGTAGGCATAATTTTGAAATTATTCTTTGATAATTTATGAAAGAAAATATAAAAAAAAAAGGTTTATTTAATCTACTTATAATCTTTATTATTGCTATTATTGCCAATAATTAACAAATTATATTTTATTTTTATAGGTTCTATAGGTTGTTCTTTACGAAATCATGGAAATTTTTTATATAGCTTTAATTTTGATGACGGAAAATAAATTCTGCTTTTTTGGTTTAGTTCAAATTTCAATATGGTAATTTTAATTATTTTACTACAAATTATAAATTAATTTCAAAGTACAATATTTTATAATAGGTATATAAAATTTACGTTACTATTTATACACCGTTAATATGCGTATGTCAGACATTTTTAATTTATATCTTATCAAATTTTAAAACTGACCATGTGTAATAATCAAGTGATTCTCGTGTATCAACAATTACATTTTTTTTTTTATTCAAGAAAATTTTCTTAATACGATAATGTACTTAAAATGAAATAATTAAATATAAGAAATTAAGGAAAATTTTTTTGTATTTAACCATATAGTCTGATGTCTACTTAAGAAGTTTTGTTTCAAGTTTATAATATTATAAGATAATAGCAGTATAATAAAAGTATATATTATTTATTTACGTCATTAAAGTCAATAATTTTATATAGGTACTCATAAACTTATTTACAAGTGAAATGCTTATTATATATACGATATGAACTTAATACGTTTTTTTTTATTTTAGCCGGATATCAAAGGGATTTGTTCCTATTCGACTTATATTGACTATAATTTTTTAAGTATTACAATTGCTTAATAATTTTTTTACTCGTAGTATTACAAAATAATAATTTAAAAAAAATATTGTTTTGATAGATTTTTTGGTTGATTTTGAATTCTGATTAAGAACTGAAAACATGAACAAAGGCTTACGTTACTATACGTAAACAAGTCATTAAAGTAATCAGAAATAAAATTTTTATATGAAAAGTATGTAAGCGAGATCTGGTGGAGAGTGGAATAAATTATATAAATTCATTTATTTCTCATCTCTTATGTTATATTGATCAATGTAAAGTACTATTCAAGTGATAAGTACTCAACACTTTTATATTACATTATTATGCTAAGATTTTTATGAATGCGTTACATATAATACACCGTTATAAAAATTATAGACGCTACAGAAATTTTAATATTAGACTATAATTATTCAAGTATACGAATTCAAATTTATTTTTTTTCAATTTTCTTTTCTGTACCCTATTTAAATAGCTCATTAAAATTTATGATAAAAAGTTTAAGGTTAAAAATAAAAACTTTTATACAATATAACATTAACTTATTCAATATAAAATTTTACACTATATATTTATACGAAAAATAATTAAAAATATTTCTTAATAATAATTAAGTATTATGTTTATAATTTAAACAAAAAATTTTTTATAAATTATTTGAAAAGCTTAATGTAAATAAATAATAATTTCTTAATTACAATTTTATAACGTTTTACATCAATTAAAAAAATAACACGATTTTTATGTTACAAGATAATATAATGAAAATAAATATTTATGTATATATGTATTTGTATATATTATGTAGTTAGTGTTAGAATTATATGTGCAAACTATTTATTTATCATTTTTATTCAATGTTAATCGTAATTCGTATTTAAAGAGTAATTAATTAATAATGATTATTTTTTCTTTGCTTTTATTTAACATCATGTTATGCAAATTTTATTTTCAAGAAATCATATTTAAATTATAAACAAAACAAAACAGAAAAGGTGAAAATGAATTAAAGAAAACAAAAAATTTGTAAATAAATAAAATAAAATAATTGTGAAGAAAACAAAAATACCCGCGATAATTCAACTTAGATATAAGTTATAATTTATGTAAAATTGTAAAATTATGTAAAATCAAGAATATGAACTCATGTTAATAATAAATTGCATTGATAAATAAAAATACACCATATAAATTCACTGAGGATTGTTGAGCTCAATCCAAAAACTGAGATTGAATTAAGAAGTTAAAATTCTTTAATTTTAATTTAAGAAATTTATTTTTAATAAATCTATTATTCATTCGTCAAATCAAAAATGTTGCTATACTTCAAGACATTTAATTTGAAAATATTTTGTTTTCATTCGCCTATATCATATCACAGAGAATTTTCACCGAATAGTTTTAGTAGTCCATTCGCTCTCCTTTATATTCGCCGATCCTAATAATTTTTAACCTTAATAAGGCTTTAATTAAAAAATAAGGATTTTAGTTCTCTTTTTTAGCAATTTTCTAGAAAAAAAAAATTTGAAAAAAAAATGCTTATTAATTTCAATCTGTTCTTCCGTGTGCCTGTTTACAAAATTTTTACTGACTTGCTTTTTCTACCGCGGTATGACGTATAGTTGATTATTTTTATCAGCATCCACCCCCTTTCCAAATCATCGCCTTTCTAAGCTTTTCTAAATTTCTACAAAAGCATAAAGCTAACAGTAAATGCCATACTATTAAAAAATAAAATCATTTATTAATACAATTAACCCTTGAGTTCGGCCATTATGTTATTTAATTTGAAAAATTTTGCATATTGATGAAAGCAAAGAGAAAAGTGCTACTGAACAATTCATTAGTGGCTCTACTTTATTTTTTTCTGCTCTGACATTTGTGTATATAGAAAATAGAGTTATCGTCTAGAAAAATCTCACTGCATTTGAATGCGGTTACAGGTTTCTTAATTAAATCGTTTTTATTTGCAAACTTAGTTGTAATCAATAAAATATCACGCTTATAAATAAATTTTATTGCTAAAATTTAAACTCATTTTTCCTTCTTAATAATATATTTTGTTTTTTAAGCGTAAACAAGTTTTTTTTAATGATAACAATTGTAATGGAAAAATATCTTAATACATGCTCTTAAAGATAATTTATATTTATAGCAATGAACTTCTTTCTATACCATATCTAAATATATTTAAAAATTTCTACATAATTATGAGTAATTTATTAGTATTTAATAAAAAAAAAATTTAAAAAACAATTATAAAAATTGATAAAATTCTTATACTTAATAAACTACCTTTGTTTGTTCTAAAAAATAATTTATTTTTCTGGTATATTTTTTTTCCAAAAATTATATTTAATAAAGGAAGTGCCTGACTTAATTAAAATTTCTAAAAAATAGGATTTAATAAAATTAAAAAAAAAGTAGTCTACAGTTTATGAGTGTTAAAATAAAATAAATATGATTTTTTTACCGTAAATTATAAAATATATGAGTTTAAAAATAACTTTATAAATATAATAATAGTAATAATTACGAATTATAATTCTTTATTATGTTTAAGTATATGTAAAATGCGTCTTTAAATATGCCGATCTTTAATGAAAGAATTTTTTTTTTGGAAAAAATTTTGGATAAATAAATAAACCTACTTTAATAAATTTATTATTATAATTTAAGTTGTTTTTTATTTACATATGACATTAGTTTGTCAATTTTTTTAAAAATTACAGTAAGAGCAATTAAAATATTAAAAATTACAACGCAAAAGGCTATACTCACGTAAAATGGATAATAAGATGATCAAATATCAACACTCAAATTGCTGAATAACCGTGAAAACAGAACAAAAGCATTGAGGGGCAACGGCGGGCGGTTTCCGTTCTTAACCCAGAACAAAGGCGGAACAGCTACATCAATTTCACATGCATATTTTCCATATAATGCACATGGAAACGGACAATGTCAAAAAAACCCCAGCGGCAAAATAGGAATTTAGGTTATTTCAACACCGGTGGTGAAATTCGTGGTGATGATTCCATTTGATTCAGGGCTGTCTCGGTTAAATATTCGTATTTTATATTAATTCTGACATTTCGTCGCGGAAAATCGCTCTTGTACGTTTGTGTTAAATCATAAACAAATTTTAAATTTGTAATTAATTCCAGTGTGCATTTTAAGTTGTCAATTAACTTTTCCGATTACGATATTACATAGTTTTCTCGTTTTAAGTATATAGCATAAAAAACTATGCAGAATTATTTTCTTTTAATTTTATTTCAAAAGCCGGAAAAAAAATATATCTATACTTTATTTGATTATTGTAGTTTTTTACATTAAATATGCAAAAATAATTTCAATTTAGTCTTTAATTTTATAATTCTTAATATTTTTATTCCGTTTATATTCATAAGTGCAAATATAGAACTAAGAGCGGTAAACATAATTTTTACCGCAGTGCTCAAAGATGCGGTATCATTTTCATTTAATTTAATACAAAATAATATTACTAATTCAGTTTGATCGTTACTATCGTGATCATTTATTACACTGGTCGTTTACGATATAGTGTAATAAAAAATATGAAATGTTACTTTTTTAAGATTATGCTTTATATGTATAATAAAAAGAAAATACACAATCATTAATGTTGTTTTTATTTGTATATTCTTCGTATTATAAATTTACGCTAATTATAAAAAAATAATTTGTACATCCACAAATATGTTTCAACTTATATAACACTCCCAAACATTTTTAATCAATTAGTAAAATGCAATATTCTTCATTTAAAAACGTTATAATAACTTTACATATAGTAAATTAATTGAAAATATTATTAATTATAATTTCTATTAATTATTACAATAAATTTTTTTGAAATTAAATTCTACTAAATTGTATAATAATTAATATTTTCCTAATACCGTAAATATTTTCTTAATGTTAATGTTCCGGCTCATATTTAAATAGAAACTTAATATAGAATTATATGAGTCATAGAGCGCTAAATTTCTTTTATGAAAAGTATTTGTAAATATTTACTAAAATCATTGATTCAAAAATCAAATACAAAATAATTCAACTTCTGATAAATGTCACATTGTTTCGCAATTTAAAAGTGCATAAAATGAGTATAGGTTTCCTATTCTGTTTAATTTTGTGATATATATTATAAATTTTGTTGTTTTACTTTTTAAATATATTCAACATTTTTATTGACCCGTTCTATAAAATTAGTCCTACCCTTCATATTTTATATTGGTTTTGTCATATACACATTATATTTTTCAAACACAATTTTGCATCCTTGCAAAAACACTTTCCATCCTCACTGATAAGTTTAAGATTAATTTTTTTAATTAATCAAACCGTCTCTAACTAAAATTTGAAATTTTTTGCCAAAAAAAATGAGATTTTAATTTATGATCTCTCTTTTTTCTCTTGTTATCTCCTCTAAGTTACACACCATAATATGTCAATACAATACAATAATCATTGTGCCAAAACAATAATAAACAATTCTCTGAAGTTTATAAAAAACAAAATACAATATTGGCGTACTTGTTTCAAACTGACATTTAAACTAATCCGAGGTAACAAAAACAAAAAAAAAACCAAAAAGGTATCAAGAAATCAAAACAAGATTTTCGAATTTATTTTAAAAATTTTTTAATTTTTTTTTTTTGTAATTTAAATTTAATTAATTCAATTTAGTTTTTTTTCTCAACTTACATTTTGTGTCTGATTCGTCAAGTGCATTGACTGTTAATGAAATTTTTAATCCTAATAAAATAATAAATAAAATATTTTTTGTGTTCCGACTGCAGTTCCACATTTTTGTTTTTTTTTTTATTTATAAAATTAATTAAAAATTTTAAATCAACTACACAATATAAATTAAAACTAATTTTAAAAATTTTAATTTTATTTCTTTTTTTAAATTTAATTTGAAATTATTTCGTTCTTTGTAAAATTTCTTCGTTGTTTTGTTTTTTGTTAAAAAGCACCTTCATTACACTCAATAGCACTCAATAATTAATTTGAAAAAAACAAAATTTTTTTTTTTTATTTTTATTAATTATTTCTTAATTTAAAAATTTATTTTATTAAAAAAAAAATTTTTTTCATAGTTATTAAAAAATTTTTTAAATTTTTAATTATTAATTTTATTATTGTTTTTTCTTTTTAATTTTCAATTTAATTAAAGCTTAAATAAAAAACCGAAAAACTATTGCACTATACGAGTTTATAATTATAACTGAATTAGAATACTCTTAAGAAGTTTGTTTTTATATATAAAAAACATATAAAAAAAAAAATTTATATACATACATACAGGTATGAATAAATTCAAGTAGTATAATAGTTTATAATATTAGTATAATAATATTATAATTGTATATAATATAATCATAAAAACGTTTATGTACCTATACATATACATATGATATAATTTTAATGAGAATTTAAAGAAAAAACCCAAAAAAAAAAATTACATTTGATTTTATATAAAAAAAAAAATTTCTGTTTTCAAAATGAAATTCTGTTATAAAATGACAGTTTTCATAACTTTTCTGTTATACAAGTAATATTATATTAAATTTTTTTATATACATTAACTTAATTATATATGTATTTATAATGTTAATTATATGTATATAATTATAATGAAATTATTAGTATAACAAATTATTTTTTAACTATACTATTGATAAGATGTTTACACTTGGATGAAAACTTTTTAACTAGTACAATTTAAAAAAAAATGAAAATTTTTAATAAAAAAACCTTCTTAAGGTTTTCTTTATGTTTTTTTCTTATAATAATAATTGTTTATCTATAAAAAGCAAATATAATTAATACTATATTAAAAAATTAAAAAAAAAAAACTTTCTGAAAAATTCTTTTATTTCACCTGCAATTTAATTGTCGTCGTCTTATCAAAGATATTATTATTAATATTATTATATATACATATATATATATATATAGTATAATAATATTCTTGGGAAAATCACCTTCTGATTACATGTATATATATATATATATATATATATATATGTATAAGATAATAATGACGCAACAACAAAAAATTTGATAAATTCGATTTAATTTTTGAAATTTGTTTTTTTTTTATAAGGAATTTTGTTTTTTATGATTATATAAATATTATTAGTTTTATATAATTTACATATGTATACACATAAGTCCACGCATACGCGTGTTATACATATGTATAAATATGTATATACATACGATAAAAATAATTTTTAATAATTAATTAATTTAAAAATAAGAAAATGAAAAAAAATTAAATTTTAAAACGAAAGCTAAAGTCCAATCACGAAAAAAAAAGAGTGTATAACACTTTTTATTATCACGTTTTATTACACATTTCGAAAAACAAAAAATATTTTAAACAACAAGAAAAAATCTAAGGAAAATACCGCTTAAATTATCATTTATTTATTTGTATACATATTTATCGTAATTAACTACTCCCACCTGTCAGGATAATCGAATTTAAATAAAAATTCTAAAATTGTATATACCAAAATCTTTATACAATTATTTATAGGTAGTAGTACAGATATGGAAACACAAACATATGTATGTATGCATTGATATATTAGGTTATTAAAGTTGTAAAACATATACTAACATTTTATTCTATTTTATCAATCAAATTAATAGATAAAACTTCGGTACAGCGAAACTTAAATAAAATAAACTTTTGAAATAAATCATTTAATGTTGACTGTAAATTAATATTAATATGTTGCAGCATCATATAATGCTCACTATATATAGTTTATATTATAGTTTAGCCACCTTATAGTGTACACAATTTTAACATCAAAAGTGCCACCGGATCTCTATGGTCAGTTGTAACAGGTAATTATAAAACATTTTTCAAATAAAATATTATTAATTTTTTTTGAAAAACTTCATAAATTAAATTGTAAACTTTTTTCATAATTTTATGTACTTTCTTCACTAAAAATAAATCAGCCATATTGAAATTAGCTTCGCTAATAAAGCTACCTTCCTGTATAATATGAACAATTACCTGTATAGGTACATCTATTTGTCGAAGTTTCACTGTACAATATATTCACATGTTAGAAGTATATTGACATATCATATTATGATTATCTCAATGGAATAATGATAATAATAATAAAGTGGAAGTGTGATCTATTCCATAGTAGGTAAATTTAATATTATATTTAATATAATTGATTTTCAATTGAAAATTTTTAAAATTAAAATCATTATACAGCATTATTTTTATTAGATTGAATTTAAGTGTATATGTACTATACTTAAAACCTATTCGATTATTAAGAATTTTTAGATCGTGACATAAAATTGATTGTATAAGAATATCGAATTATATTCTTTTCATTCATATCTCTGATAATTAATTGTCAAAAAATATGTTGTTAACTACAATAGGATTGTTAATATTATTAAAATATTATTGCGTTGTTGTGCACTTCACTTACAATATTATTAATAATTGTTGCGAACTGTCAATAATATATGTATATGTATGTAAGATACTTAGGTATTATGTGAAAATCTTTAGAGATCTTCTTATTATATTATATTGTTATTAGGGCTCCAAATAAATAAATAGTTCACAATCAAAATAATTGTAACTATGTGTTGATAATTAAAATGTTGTCACACAAATTTTAAAAATTTAGTTGGATGACGAAAACAAAATCAAAATGTCTTAAAGCAATTGAAAGAATGTCCATATTAAATAAAAGTTCAATATTAAAGGTAGGACCGTTATATAGAATAATTATTATCCCAGATTTCTTCATGCTTAGTAAAAATTTAGTAATTCTTAGTAAATTTAGAATTTATTTAATTTATTAAAAGTATATCGCACAACTATATCACTGCAATTGCATATAGGCACGCAGTCATATAAATTTGAATGTACATAAATGAAATATTATTACACACATCTTAAACTTTTAGACAATTTCGATAATAAAGCATAGTTTCATTATAAAACAAAATATAAAAACATAATTCTATTATACTACAAGATTTGAAAACTGGTTTTTTTATTGAAAATTTCTACAATGTATGGAATGAAAATTTTTGCATTGATTTTTTTTCATCAATTTAACATACAAAATATTTAAAGCTTTATGAAATGCATATTATATTTATATAAACGTCATCTATTTCATCTTCATCTATTACGATCTTACTAAATGATGTAAAGTTTAATTACGATATTAGTAAGTGATGCAATCAATTACGTATTTTTATTTTTGGTTTTTCTAAATGAGTGCATACGTTCATAGTTGTTTCAATGCAATTCAAATAGATTTGACGATTATTAATTGTTGCATTGATAATTTAAAAAACTTTATGATTATTTGGAATTTTATATTTTTTCAGTAATCAATATTTATAATTATCGAAATTCCCTTATAAAATGCTTAAAAGGAAATATTTTAATAATGAACTCATAAAAAGGAAATTTTTATTAAATTATAAAGGAAATTAGTCAAAAGGATCATTGCCAACAAGAAATTTTCTACAGCAGTTTAATTGAAAACGATTATTGCAGTAACATCATTTCATAACAAGACTATATAGTTTTAGTAAATGTATGAAATTAAAATTTGAAAATTATAAATTCTGGAATTTTTAAAAAAATATATTATGTTTTCAGAAAAATGCGGGTAATTATGTTTTGTATGTTTGCCGTATGCTAATATTAAAATGCGACAATTTTTGATTCCATTCAATTGTGATCATCTTTCGCCCATTCTTTCGAATTAATTTACGAGAGAGAAAGTTTTGTATACATATACATTTCCCGAGAAAGAAAGTTTTACATGATTGAAAATGATTTTGTTTCTGATTTAAGAATAATAGAAAGTGGTATTTTTGAACAAGCGTAAACTTTTGTTAGAAATATCAAAACAATTTTTGTAAGTCAAAAACAAATACGTTTTTAATATTTTTGCATTTTCTTATTTACATTTTATTTAATTTATTCATTAAATTATTATAATTAATGGCGTTCAAAACATAATTAATCAAGAATGCTATATACAAAAGAATGTTATTTATTAAATTTATTTTTATTTTACGTTTTAATTATATGTAAATTATTTTAATTATTCACACAATAATTATTAAAAATGTCTTAATAATACATACATATATATTCAATTGCACTATAAATAGTTCAATAATTTCAATATAATGAATTTTTATTATAATTTTTCTAAGTATGTTTGAATATATATATTTTAATTTATTTTAACATTAATATTTAACCGCAAAAACAACTGAAGAAAAAAATGCAAAAATTAATCACTTGATTTAATATTTTAATTTAAAAATATTTATATATACATATCTATTATATGTATATTTATATATACATATATACATATCAACTATTTCTATTTTTGTTATGCATTTGTGAGTAAATTAAAATAATAGACAAAAAAAAGCTTCTTTTTTTCTGCATTACGAGTATAAAATTTTTACAATTCATCAATGTTAAGTAGTTAACATTAATTTTCATTACACCTGTATGTATGTAATTAGTTTTACTTGTTATACTAAAAATGTAACGTTAATTCCTAATAATTTAATAAAATCATTATTTTTTTTTAAGTTGCGGTTAATATAATTATAAAAGTATATATACAACGTGTACAAGACTTTTAAATTAATTGTATTCCTGAATGAAAAGATTTCGAAACAGATTGCAGCAGAAATTTTGAAACGTCAGGCATTGCTGGAAATATCAATATATTTCACACTATTTTGATATTTATTTGAATATAGTGTAAACCAAGCTTAACTTTTGTAGAATTTTTTTATCGTTGCTGTAAAATTTTAAACAACTCATGTGAATTATTATCTTTCTCCTTTTTGAAATAAAAAGGTCATTCTGTAATTGTATTCTGCAAGAAAAGCACCTATTCCTAGCAAAATATAAAATTTAGATTTAAAGTACAAATCATCAAAACTAATTAAATCTAAATTTAAATTCACCATAAATTCAATCACCATCAACCTAAAAATTCTAAAAATATATAATTATTCCTGTTTATTCTTCTAATTTTTTATTAACAGTCTTCTTTTTTTGCTATTACGTATTTTATTTGCAGGTTAAGTAATAAACTGAAGCATTTTCTTAGTATTAATTACTTATATCAATTTGATTAGCTCATATTTCATACGTAATACCATCATTGAGTTTTGGACACCCTGTGTAAATAGAAACATATTAAGTATCTTTTTATATGGCAATATAAAACAAAACAAAAGAAAGAAAACATACAAAAGCTCGTGCCGCTATTGAATATTTTAAGTATGAACACAAAAATATATAAGCGTGAATGATCTTCCGGAGAATTAAAAGTTAATTGCAAATTTAAAAGGTATTTAAATAAAACAAATCATTCAAAAATATATAAAAGCACTTTTAAATAATATATGTGTATGAATAAATCACTTGTTTCAACTCGATTGTAACCAGTGTAGTAAATACACTTGCAGTTATTTATTATTTTAATAATTAGATAAATTTTGTTATACATACATATATAAATATACATATATGACAGTTACTATGTTTTGAAATTTGACATAAATAGGTATGTATTTCACTTAAACTAAAATATTAATATAATTTGAAGAAACTTACATATATGTATATGTCATATTTTGGATTTTTTAAGGGGTTTTCCATTTCAATGTGTATTCCCATTTCAATATTTGCTTTTCATTTAAGTATTTCAAAAGAATTTTCCTATTTAAAAATGTTAATAAAATTTTTAATATATTTAATAATATTATAATAAAATCAAAAAACAAATTTTCCAATTAATTTTTTTCCTTAAATAATTCTCCCCTTTTCCTAAATGTTATCGGTTTATACCGGTGTATTATCACCGCAAATATGTCAATTAAATATTTTATTATTCAATAGGCGTGAATGTGGTTCTTCTACTATAGTATATATGATTTGAATATTAATTACAATTAGTATAATATGTACGTTGCCGTGCTTATTAATTTGAAATCTTTCAAAAATTTTTTATAATATGTTTTGATATTTGTAGCTCAATTATGTACGTACAGCAATTTATAGTGAGTTAATCAATGTGAATTAATTATGATATTTTAATTTATATCGTTCAAAAATTTGCTAAATTTGAATTCTTTTTTTGTCTTAATTTTTAATTTGGGTAATTTTAGTATAGAAATCATCGGGATTTACAAAATCCACAAATTTTATTGAATTCTATTGAATTTATGTGATATCGGATTATATTTGGGGAAAATTCAGTAATTTCATAATTACATATACACATATTTATAGTGTTTAGAATGAAAGTAGGTTATTGAAATTGTGAGGAATTTATAGCAAACATACAATGTATCGAGTTTAATAATTTTAAGTGCATACTTAATACGATAGAATGTCCAACTTATATCTGAATTAAATGACAAATAATATTTTAACAAGTTTTTTTAGTTTTATATAAAAAAAGTTACATAATATTAAAACTTTATCTCGTGTAAACACACCTTTATCTGCAACATTTCGAATTTTAAATTAATTTGAAAATATTTGTTTTACATGTCAAATTATAGCGATTTTTTCCATTTTCTTATACTATATAATATTAAATAAATCACTTCTGTTTAATGTTCACATACTGGCAAATTAACATTTGAGAAAAAATTTAATTCCAACATTGATGCTAATATTATAAATCCTACATACATTATTGTACAACAAATTCCAACTTTCCAATTTAAATAAAATTTATTTGCTAAAAATGACATATAAAAACCTAATAATGTTGCTAATAATGCTATAGCTGAATATGTTAATGTTGATGAATTCATGATAATCCAATTTTCATTTGGTACTGTTGGTATAAAATAACTTTTTACAAACCATGGTAAACCTAAACCAATTAATATACCAAATGTATTTGAACCAATAGAATTACTAATACCCATAGCACCACATCCTTGATTAGTAACAAGTACACTTGATACTGCTTCAGGTATACTCATTCCGGCAGCTAATATTGTTAATCCCATAACAGAATCAGGTATATTTAATGTATCACCTGCAATTAATTTTTTCATGCATTTAATATGAAAATTTCATAGTAGAATCAGTAAGTATACTCACTCACCTACGTATGTAATAAAAAATGATACCAAATATGATGTAATCGCTAACCAGCAAACTGTTATCAAAAATGTTATATATTTTAGTTTTGGATGTTTTTTACAATTTGGTATTGTTATCCATAATAAGAATGTGATTGGCCACCGTAATACAAATATGATTAAATTTCTATTATTAAAAATCCAAGGATCATCATCTATACCTTATGGGAAAAAAGAATTAAAAAAAAATTGATTGAAAACCAAAAAAAAAAGTTATATTTGAAAAATAATTACTTTCTAAACTGCAATTAAATTCATCTATATTTTCAATATCATCTTCTAAATTATTAGACAAAAGTGGTGTGATTTCATTGACTTCCTTGTAAATACATAGAGTAGAACCTCGAAATTTACATTTAGCAGCTAATTTCCTTGCTTTATTAACCATATGACGATTACTAAGAATCATTGCTGAAAGTAAATAAAATGTACTAAAAATAATAAAAACTGTCAATGTCACAAAGTGTAATCTGTGACATTGCACTATTTTAATTAAATGCATTACTATCGTTATACATTATTTAAATACATAAATTACAAAGTGTTACAAATCAAATTAGAATTCCATTTAATCAATTTAAATTAAAAGATTCAGCTTAACATTTAATTTGTATAATTAACAGCCAAAATTAATTAAAAAATGTAATAACGAGATTGTACTTAGTATGTATGCTCAATTTACCAAAAATTTGATATTATTGCGGTTGTCAAATTCACACATTTCCATTTCACATTTTTATCATAAACCAAATTTATATTAAAATAAGTGACAATTTTTTTAGAATTATTGACATTGCTCTGTGCTAATTTTATCAGAAGTGAAGTTGTATCTTAAAAATCTATATTGCAATTGAACTAAAATGATTTAATTTGTAAAATTCGTATATTTGATTGAAATTACATAATTTATTGGAATCTCATAATAATAAAAGTATTAATTATTTAAGTGAGAATTTCTATAAACCTTGAACACTTCACCTATATACTGTAGAAAAATTAAAATTTTCCAATTCTTAATTATAGTTTACACGAAATTACAATCTTGTTAATACATTTTTATATATGAATATATATTTTTATAATAAGAAAACAAAAAAAATTTTACCTGTAATATAAATGATATATGTAATAATTAATACAAGCGCCTCATACCACATAATTTTACCATCATATAATGTAAAAATTAAACATAAAATTGCAAAACAATACATTAAACAATCTCGACTTATAGGCCACCAATCTAAATTTTCCATCTGCAATTATGGCAAGTATTATGTAAAAAACAATATATTAATTATATTTTTCTGAATGAAAAGTAGCTTATATAAATATTAACTAATATAACATGGTAAATAATAATTTCATAAACCTGTTCAGTAAATAAACCACAACAAGCTGGAACAGCTAATATATTAAAAACAGCTGAACCAACAATTGTTCCAGTTCCTAAATCTGTTTTTGTTACAAATGTTCCAATACAATTAATAAAAAGTTCTGGACTAGATACCGCTGCTGCCATAAATGTAGCACCAACAACATCAGCATCCATTTTAACACCTATAAAATTTATTTTATTTTAATATTAAAAAAAAACATATTTTTTTGTAATAAAAGTAATTTTGTTTTCTTGTATTTTTTTACTTGAACACATTAAATCAATTGCAGGGACAAAATAATCATCACAAACGACTGCTAATAACCAAAAACAATAACATGCTAAAAGAATATGTAAAATGATCCAACCATTTTTACGTTGTTCTCTTGTTAAACCATCACTAGGAAATTCATTAATTGTTGAATTTGTACAATTTATATTATCTAAATAATTAAAAATTTAAATTAATAATTAATTTTCTTTCAAGAATTTCAAATATTTAATAAATATCAATACCAGAATTTTTAGTTTTAATTAAAGGAATTAATTCCATTTCATTTGAATTTTTCTCTTCATACGAATTATTCCTTTCATTGTTATTTTGAATAATTTCCAATTTTTTTATACTTTTATCAGATGCTGGAAATGTACTAACACCAAGTAATTTTCTGCCAGAATTTATTGAATAATTTTCTAAAAAGACAATAGAATTTTCAAATTTTTTTTTTGAAATATAATTTTAAAAATTGCATATTTATGGGCGAAAGAAAAGCACATTCAACAAATTTTTAAAATTCCATTTGAAAAATTTTCAATTATTTTATTTTAAAGAAAAGCTTTAAATTTTTTTATGTATATTTTTATAGGTGTACATAATTGTATGACAGGTACAGTTAAAATTTTTATATATACACGAAAGCTACATGACATAGTATCACAGTATCGAACAAAAAAATTAGGCAAACAAAACATTTTTCTTGGGAAAATTATTTGTTTTATTTGGTTATCAGTAAATGAGCACATATTTAATTTTAATAGACACTTAATATTATTAAATAAATATTAAAATTTTCCGTACTTTAACACTTGTTAGTACCAAAAATTTGTAATGTTCTTAATCAATTTTTAAAATTTATTTATAAAATAAAATTTTTATATGATTTTTCGAAATTTGAATGAAAACTCTTCACTTGTGTATTGTTCATTTACCTTTATTATTCTTATGAATATTTGGTCGAAATAGGCAATAAAATATTATAACACCTAAAAATATTGTAATACGTATAGCTAATGCTAATGAACTTTTACGTTTCTGTAAATTATTAGTACTAGTCCAATATACTTGTTGATGCATTTTAATTATTTACTTCAATATATTTGAGTAACAAATCAATTTATCTGATAAAAGATCACTTTTTTTTTATTTTTAAAAATTTATATTCAAAAACCAATTTTTTTGGAAAAAATAAAAATTAAAAATCAAAGAATAATTTCTTGTTTATGATAAAGGCATAAAAAATATTTTTGTTTTTTTCGTATAAAAATAAAAAATATTAAAAAAATTAATTTCTTTATGGTAGCCACGATTTTTTTTAAAGATGCTATCTAATTATTAGAAGAAAATATACAAAAAAAATTATGCACTTATCTCTAACAAATATTTTGTTACAATGAATTAAAATAATTGTCAATTTTTTTGTAATAATAATTTTCTATATAATATTAATTTGCCTATATGTATATGTATAACATTAAACTAATACATAACCAAAAAAATTAATTTTTATAACAATTTTTGTTATTATTTTATTGATTTTTTTTAATGATAACGTGCTTGCATGTATATTTATTACTATCATTCTATGAATATATACATATGTATACCGTATTTGCATATGTATAACATTAAATTTCTTAATATAGATTTTGAGAAACGGTTTTCAAAATATTTACCTTTTCCTCGAACAAACTATGTATAATAAAAGGAAATTATCAGAGTCGGGATCACGTTTTATCTGGATTTTTAGACTAAAATATTATCAAATAAATAGGAACATACGTACATAACCATTGTATATATATATAACCTAATTACACCAATTTGTTATAATAACATGGTTATAAAATCTTAGCTGTTGATTGTTTTTTCAAAATTTTATTGTGTTGAATTTTTTCCACTTTACAAGGTTTAGATGCAATTTTTATTTGTTTAACAAATTTTATATAATTTCTTTTGAGGAAATTTCCTATAAATTTCACAGGAATCATGTTAAAGAATATACGATTTGATTATATACGAGAATACGATATCTAAATATTCTAGACTGTAGTAAATCTTTTACTTTACAAATTTACACTTTAACGTTCTATTTTTCATTCTTTATCATTCTATTCATATTTCGTCCCTTTTTTCTCTTTGAGTTTAAAATTTGAAATAATTTAAAATGAAATATTAAGGTTGGTAAAATGAAATATTAAGTAAACATGTTGGGTATAGAGTAAATGTAAAAATTTTAGAGTATCAAAATATCAAAAACACAATAATATTATTGTAATTTATTTGTATACATGTGTTATTTTTGCTTCTTGTCAATATACATACACGTATATTTTTTATTATCCTTTTATATAATAATATTTGCGATAACAGCAGTGTAATAAAACGTTGTTTTGTGTTTCACGTTATCTATGTACAGGATCCTTTACATCTCATTTTAACTAATTTATGTTTACCTGAGGTGTAGAACTTGTAAAATGCATTGTACCTGAAATAAAAAACAAGAAAATTTTTGCCAAATTAATTCTGTTGTTTTGTTTTAATATGCAATTGAAATAAAAATTAATAATTAGGATCGGTTTTTAAAATAATATTTAAAAAATAAATTATAAATGGAATTAATTCCGATCCGTCTATTGGTAAAATATTTTGTCATTTTCATTGTAGAAAAACTGCCGCTAATGTTTTTAAGTAGAAAATGGAAAGTTTTGAAGACAATTTTATTAATTGAATTTTGAATAAGCAATTTTATTAATTGAAATTTAGATCTTGAAATATTCAAATAAAAAATAAGTTCAAAGTTGTATACGAAAGTTGATATGAAAAAAATTTTTTTAAATTAGATTGTTGATTGCTGGTTGGTGACCGCTTCAGATGCAAATGTTGTCGACCGGCATTTACCATTATCGATTAGATTTTACGAATGAAAAATTGTATAATAATAACTGTTTAGTAATTTGATGTTTTGTTTAAAAGAATTTTATTTTTAATTTACATATAATTTACAATCAAAAAAAAAAAAATATATTCTCTTTTTTTTTTTAATTTATAACTTAAGAATAACTTTTTATACAGATTTTTTTATGTTTATTTTTTTAATTTTTCTTTTATTTTACTTTATTTTTGGTAATTTATTTAAATTGTCTTAATTTATACAAAATAATAATAAGTTTACTTTTGAACTAAATAATACTAATATAAATTTTTTAATATTATAAATAAACATTTTTCAACTTATACGTAAATTCATGATAAATTTATAATTATTTTATATTTTATAAACAAGAAAATCTTAATTATATTTAAAAAAAAAATGTGTTATTTTTTAATTTTTTTTTATTTTATTTCTTTGTTTTTGTTTAGTTGTACAAAAAAAAAAACCAAGCAAATATATTTAGATAACAAATTTTTATTCTACAATTTATTATTTAATATTTTTATAAACAATTATATTTTGAACTCATTTTTTAATTTATGTATACTAACTTGACTTCAAAATTTCAGTAACTCGATATTAATTTAGCTTACTAGTTGTAAATTGCTAAAATATTGAACAATAAAGTATTATAGCAATTTTAAAGTCACCGATATTTGGTTTTTTTATCTTGTATAACATTTTATTTCAATATTTATTCTTAGTTAATTTCGTTCGCTACAAGAAGATCTAATAACCCTCCAACTTATTCCTGAATGTTTTTACGTATTTTATATTATAAACTTTAAATTTTCTCTTTTTGTTTTTAAAACTATTTAAAACTACATAATATGCATATATGCACCAAAAATTGATCTTTTTAAACAATATCCTGGATTTTAGATAAAAAAAAATTAACAATAATTTTTGGATTGTGTTGAATTTTTATACATATATTATTTTTTCATGAAATATATATATATATCAATAAAAATACATACTCCTGTAAACAAAAAAAATACAAATTAGATGCCTTATAAAAATTACTACATGCAAAATTTTTTTCTTATTGCTGTTGTGTTTTAACAATGTTATTAATTGATTTGGCAATAAAACTTTTGTGAACATTTCAAAACTAATCAACCTATTTTTGTAAATTACAGTATATATATATTTAACATGTATTTAACAATAATATAAATGATCAAAGTTTAACAAGCAATTTATAATAATATAAAATACAATGAAATTTATATGAGATAACAATAATTTTAGATGAATTTATAAAACGCATTTAATGTAATCGTAAGATGACAATTAAAATTATTCGTATATTATACGGTGAACGAAAGAGCGCACATCCAAATTTTTATTTTGTTCTCTAGATAGAATTTTAGATTTATTGTTTGTTTGTAATTATTATTATTTTGTTAAAAAAAAATATAAATTTTTAATTCAAATTGCAAAAACTCAAAATAATTTTTAACTTAAAAGGATTTGTTTTTTTTTTGTTATATATAAACATGTACATTCATACATACATAATATTTTTAATTCCTTTCTCCTATTTCAAAAATTTGTTAATACTAAAAACGAGTTGCAAGGAAGAATAAGAAGAGCACTTTAATAAAATAAGGAAATAATAAGCGGCAAGTTAAAATTATAGTTAATTTTCTAGCAAACTTAAAAATATTTAATTTTTTTTTAATAATAAATAAATTTATTTGAGTTTCAATAAATTTTTTTGATAATTACAAAAGTTATAACGCGTAAATATATTTATTATGATGCGTAAATTGACAAATAAAAAGCTACATATATTATTTATACAATATTTTCATATCTGATATATATACATATATGTATACCCATGTTTCATATAAAAACAATCTTAATATACATTGAATAACAATTTGATATTTATGTGGGAAAAATATTTTTGCAAATGGAAAAACAATAAATCATGCAAATGTATAAATTAATATGAAAATCTCGAAAAATTAAAAGTAAGAAATTTTTATGAAAATTATTAATCGCAAATGCTATTTCAATTATTAAATTTGATATAAAATTCTCATTTTGAATTTTAACATTTCCGGGGAAAAATTACTATGATAAAACAAACAGATATGTGTACATTAAGCAAATATTTTACATATTATGAAGGTAAAACAATTCTAATTTTATTTAATTTGTCTTTAATTTTTTCTTTCTCTAAAACTAAACTGCTTTTATTCATTTCAAATATATTGAAATATAGAAAATTTTATTTTAATGTAACATAATTTGAAATTTTTTACATGTTTTTAATATATTTCTAAGATTTTATTGTTTTTAATATAATTCCAAGCTTTAATAATGTTTTTTTAATTTTATTTTATTTCAAATAAAATATACAATATTGAAAATATTTATGAAAATAATATTAAAACATAACTCTATTGATATTTTCGTTGTAATCTTTACAATATTTACGAGTACATTAATTACAAACGCAAACTATTCATTTTTTAGTATTAACTTTAAACTTTAAAAATGCTAACTTGAACATATTTTTGAAAATAAAATTTTATTTTTTTAAAATTATTCTATTTCAACATATAATATCCTTTCAAAAAGCTATTGAATTTTGTTTTTAGAAATTACAATTAATAATATTCAAAATTCACTTTAATTTTTTTTCTGAAATTTTCAACTTCTTCTATTTTTTTAATATTATTTGCAAATATTTTCTTATAAGAAGGTTACATTTACAACAATTTTAATACTTTTTAATTAATTTAGCAAAAACTTACATAATTTTTATATAAAAAGCTAAAATATAATATTCAATTTCTTTATTTAAAACAATTTTTTTATTTATATTTTATGCCTGCCAAATTAATAATATGTTTGTATATTATAATCTTTAATAAACACTTTCGTACAATCATTGAATCAATTGCAATATAAATCTTTAACTATTTATTTAGTCCTTATGTATATCTCAATTTAAAATTCAATACCAACAGTTAAGTATAGATTGAATAATATTAAGATGTATTTAAAGTAAAATAATAACTATCAATATACTAACAAAAAATACTTAGTGTTAAAATAGTTATTGAGAAAATGAATTGGATGTAAAATTATAAAATCTAGAATTTAATTTTTATCTTCTTCTTCTTCTTTACGAAAGTTATGAGAATTAAATTTAAACTTAACTCAAAAAAAAACGTAAACCTTTCTTATTTAAAGCCCGCAAGTTGGTAAATTTACTCTAAAGAATACATTTAATTCAATCAAAGTAGCAAATATTAAAAATACCAAATACATAATTAGGCAAGCTATTCCAACTTTTCTATCCAATTTAAATTTACTTAATGAGAATGTAATATAGAGCAAAAATAATGTTGATAATAATGTGATTGCTGAATATTCTAAACCAGCCGAATTTATGGCAACAAAATGTTGACCAGCTTCAATTGGTGAAAATGCTGCTTTTATTAACCACGGTACACCAAGGCACAATAGAATATCAAAAGTATTAGATCCAATTGAATTACATATTCCCATCGACCCATGACCTAAAACAAAATATGTTATAATTGTAATTTAAAAATTTGTAATTTAAAAATTTTTATAAATAAGAATGTATTAAATTTACCTCGTTTGGCTACAATCACACTTGAAACTGCTTCTGGAACGCTGGTTCCTGCTGCCAAAAATGTGATACCCATAACTGAATCAGGTATTTTTAAAGTATCGCCTTTATAAAAAAAAAATGTACATAAATATTAATATGAAAATATAGCTACAAATGAAATGAGTTATTATACCAATTATAGTTATCATCCAAGCAACAACATATGACAGTGATCCAATCCATACAATACACATGATAAAAGTTAAAGGGAAAAGTTTTTTAAATCTTTTTTTCTTACAATCTGGTATAACGAATCTAAATAGTAAATGAATTGGCCAAATAATTAACCAAGTAAATTTTGCAAAACATTTTCCTTTTGGCCAATGAGTTAACGAATAACTTTCGTAATCCAATTCTTCTCCGGGAGGTTCTGTTGCGGGCGGACTGCTTGAAGAGTTTAAACCACCATTTTGTTGAGGAGTATCAACCTTTTCTACTTTTTCAACTTTAGTTCCAAACTCAGTTTCAACTATTTCTACAAATAATAAAAGTATAAATTTTACATAATTGAATAACAGCAAAAACATAGTACAAAATTCAAAAAGAAAAAATAAAATTTATTACCTTGACCTTGTGCAGTTTTTGGTTGTGCTGTGCTATCAACAGATCTACTTCGTGATTTTGCATTATCTACACCCTCTAAAAAAAAACAAGATTAAACGATTTTTAAACATTTTAAAAAACAAATTAATTTCTTACGTCTTGCACATCTTTGAAGTGCTTTATCATTAACCATTATACCAATATAAACTCCATAAAGTGAAACCAATATTAATGCTTCATACCATTCGACACGTTCATCATGCATTACACATATCAATATCGCTACAGTAATTCCATAAGCTATACTGTCTCTTGTTAGAGGCCACCAATCTAATGGTATAGTCTATTAAAAAATTAAGTGAAAATTTCCAAAATTATAATTTATTACACATATATATTATACATATATTATTTTTTATTAGTATATATATTAAATAATAATACATATTAAATAATAATTTTAATATATTATATATATACCATTCCTGCGCCTATTCCACAGCACGCCGCTACAGCTAATATATTAAAAACTGCTGAACCTACAATAGTTCCAACACCAATATCTCCTTCTGTAATAAATGTTCCTATCACATTTACAAAAAGTTCTGGAGCTGATGTTGCTGCTGCCATAAATGTAGCACCAGCTACATCATTCGACATATTTAAGGCTAATATACAAAAAATAAATAAAACATTTAATAAATAAACCATTTTATATGACTCTAAACTGTTATAGTTACCTTTTTTTTAATTAATCATTTTTAAATCATATAAAAAATATTGCCATAATATTATAAAACACTTACCCGCACATATTTTTTCAACTGCAGGTACGAAATATTCATCACATACTACAGCTAAAGCTACAAATAAATATAAACTTGCTATAACGTGAAGTACTACAAAACCGGACTGTCTTTCTGCTTCTGTAAAAAGATCTTTTGGAAAGTCATCTATCGCTGGTGGGGTACAATTTAAAGCTGAAATAAAATTTATTATAAAATTTAATATTTAAATAATATTTATTTAAATTTTATATTTAACTAAATATTTAAATATAAAATTTTATTATGCAATATAATTTCTTAAATTTCATTTTCAGAAAAAATTTTAATTGAATTTTTGAAAACAGAAGCCATTTTTCTTATTTTTTCGAATGAAATAATTAACCATATTCTGTTAGTCGCATCACTTGAATTTTTCAATTACAACCCATTAAATCTAGTGATGCAACGAACAGAATATAGGTGATTTAACCGTATGTGGTTTTTTAATATTACACTTCTTAGCTTATAAGATATTAAATCTTAATTAATTTTTAATATCTATAAAAGAATTTCATTTAATCTTGCTCAACATGCTATTCTTATTTTATAAATTTACAATCAATACAAATCAAAAATTACATCGTTAATTTAATATAATATGTATATATAGTAAAAATTCAATATCATAATATTATACTGTGATTTAGTGACCTTATAGTAATCGAAAGAATTGTAAAGGTTAACATAGTTTAAATTTTAGGTGAATGAATTGCCCTTTGTTTCGCGCTTTATTATTTATTTATTTTTTTCTTATTTAATTTTATCGAGTGATTTGATTTAAAAAAACAAACAGAATGTTGTTGTTTGTATCCTAAAAAAAATTTTTCTTTTATTTATATATTTTTTATTATTTTATTATCTCTGAAATTTTGTAATCCAAATTTATATATTATAATTTATAAATTTTCCAAGTGAGTAAATGTATGTAGATACACGTATGTATACGCAATTATAACTACAATTTATAATACATACTTGTATAAAGTACTAAATATATATATATTTGTGTGTGTATATTATGTACAACAAATAAACTTATTTAATTTTTATTTAATTTAGTTAGTTACTTAATTCTATATTATAATACTTTTTTTTGTACATATATATATACATATAATTATATAAAAATTAATAAAATGTTTTCATGACATTAAACTATTTTAGATGACTAAAAATAGTGACCAATTAAGATTTTTAACATATTATTGAAAACGATTAATGATTCTATTTTTTATTATATTGTGTATAACAATATAATATGTATAACAATTTTTGTAGGTGGGTAGGTAGGGAATAAAATAATCATATACATATAGTAATAATTAATTATAAAATTGTTCCAAAAAAACGAATAACACTGCCACAATATCAAAAAATTTATACGATTCAAAATAATTTGATTTTAAAATTTTAGCTATTTTGATATTTTTTTTTACAATATTAAAAAATATTTTAATTTTTAAAATAGTTATAATTTATTAAAATTATGTACATAGTTCAACGTGTCATAGTAGTTAAAAATTTTTTAATAATATTCTTTTAACAGTGTGATATGTTATTGAAAAAAATCGGTTACTACTCGATTGAAAAAAATACGGCTACTACTCGAAATAAGACAGCTTTGAATTAAATGTTCCGTTATACGTACGTGTTTTTCCTTAATTTTTCTCATTCGATTTTCTAATTTCACATGTCCTTCATTTTCATTGAAACGGAAATTTTTCGCTGTCATTCACTTTTAAATTTAAAGATAAACTAATAAGATTTACGAAAAATAAAACAACAGTAATAAAATTATTAAAATTTTTAATAAAAAATAACTTTGATACACCTAAGTATAAACATGTGCAAATACCTACATACAATATAAATAATTATACGAATATAATAATAGCAATACGAATATAATTACACCTATAATTAAAACATCCGGTTTGATAGAAAACCATTTCAAAATTTCTTTAACGGAAGCCGGTAACGATTCTTTGCGGTAATTTCTTAAAAAGAACGTAATACGCATAATTATAAATTTAATACATATTTAAATATACATACATACATATTTATAATTTTTTAGATCTTATTTAGCTTGTTATTTGAAAGCTTCTTACATATTTGAATTTATTTAAACATTCAATTAACAATATTTATATGTGCACGTTTTAAAATATGTATATTGAGGATCAATTGAATTGGAATTCTTCGTATATTTAAGTAATTAATTAAGAAAATCTATTAGAGCAAATATTTACAAAATAAATCAAAATGATATTGACATTGAAATACAGTCGAACTACTTCACAATAATATTTGCATAAAATTTGTGTATAACTGTAAAAAAATCTTTTAAAAATTTATTATAATTTTTTTTTAAATGACTACATTTTTCATTTTGACTGATTTTATCAATATATTCGATTGAATGAAGCATGTTCCATCGATTTGTCAATATGACAAATGACGACATTAATTTGATAAATTGTATGAGTAATGAAATGCAAATAATAACTTTTTAGACCGTACTATATAAACAGTGTAGACACATTGTTGGTTTTTACTCCAAAATTAAATTAAAAAAGCCAAAATTAAGATAGCACTAACATAGTTACAAACTTTTAAATAAAGTTACCATAAAGAATTAAATTTTTAGATGAAACCAAATATAAAAAATTTAGTCACATGAAAAAAAGATAACTGAACACCTGTGTTAATTCTAATTACTAAAGAATTATTTAAAAATATCATATTTCAAGCATATATAATTAAAAACTTTATTAGATTAATAAAAAAAATTCCCATAATCAAAAATACTAACAAATCTTTTTTTTAAAATCACATTATTTACAAATACACTTATTATGTCTGAAAATGCAATTGTGCACAAAAAAAAAATTTTTTTTTTTCAATTAAATTGTACATAAATTTTAAAATTCCTTTACTATATACTAATTAAGTATTCTATTGAATTGAAAATTATAAATAAAATATTAAAATTAAAAAAGGTACAAGCGACTCACTCATCTTTTCTTTTCGATGTAATCCAATTTAAATATAATTTTCCGTATTTATCTACAAATTATAATTTTTTCTTTAATTAAAAAAACAAAAAAGAAAAATAATTAAACAAAAGAAAATTATAATTAAATGCATTTCATTAATTTTTAAATCTATAATTGGTATATCTCCTTATTTTTTTTATAAAAAGAAAAATGTTCTAGACTTATACAAACTATAGACTAGATAGATTTGCCTCGTTACGAAAGCATATTTGAAAGTAAATTATAAATACATTTTAATTTTTAAATAAACTTGAACAAAAAAAGAAATCTGTCACTAAAATAATAATTCAAATATCTGTCAATATCTGGTCACACTCCCACTATTAAACAAGATATTATAGTCATACATACATTCATATATAATTTAGATACAAAATTTTATTATTTGTTATGTGTGTTGATTAGCTTAATTTAATTTAATTATGATGAAAAAATAGTGATGGAATGTTGTACAGTGCGAAATATTATTAAATTTTCAATTAACTCATTTGTATATAATTACACGGTTAATTTGAAAAAAATTTTTATAAATTAATAATAAAGTATAGTTATTACTAATTTTTTGAGTTTTTATTACCTAACTTTTATTTTTAATTTATTCTACACCAAAAAATAAATAATTAATAATATGGAATGACACAAAAATGACAAACACCTGCAATTTACCATATCCCGAAAACATTTTCAAAAATTTTGGGGTTATATTTTCCCAATTTAAAGTTATGTGGCGCGATTTTCCAGAAATATAATTGGAAATCATGACAAGGCCCGAATTTTTGAAAATTTTTAATGCCGTAATGTCGACCCCCCACCTCAAATCTTATCGTTTCGCCGGCCCTCTCATTTCCTTCGACATTACTGTGAAACCGTCAGAAGTCCATAATACACAATGCCCCCAAGGTCGCCCTGCACCGTTTCACCAATCCAGATTTACAGTGCAGGTACCATACACCCCAAGAACCGCCAAGGCTCAGTAAAAAAATGTATATTAAATAAGTTGAATTTTTTGCATTCTTTTTTACATTATTCACATTTCCATAAAACATAACTATCTGTAAATTAAAATATAAGCATTTATTATGTACAAGCAATCATATATAAGAAAAAATTTTGTGACGTCAAAACATTTCTTATTCTCCTTTCGTCTAAGAAAATTGAGCTTGTGCTCAATTTTTTATATTCATATTCCTAATTGAAATTAATTATTTTTCCTTGACAATACAATATAATTATTTTGCATTATAATATTGATTTCAATTTATATATAGAACTTTTTAATAATTGGCAGCATTTTTTATTTCATTTCTTGTTTAAAAGCTCATCTTCTAGACCCTATTTCAATTTCTTTTAATTTTTTTTAAAATTAAAAACGATTCATCAGCTTCTGTAACAAAATTGTGTCTGCCATTACTGATAAATTGTTGATCTAATCCTTACTATCTTTCTCACTATCTTCCTTTTCCTTATTAAATGAAAACGACTTTGCTTCGCAATTTGATAACTATCATTGTTTTTGCTAATTCCTGCTAGTTTGTTTGCATGACAGCTCATGCTTAGCTTGATAATAATAACAAATTCATTTTACATAAATTATATATAATAAACAATATGGGCTGTAGAATTTATGAAATATTAATACAGCTTTACTGCAAATCCACATTACACAAACTCGAGAAAGATGTGCTACTTTACAAACCAATTCATTTGATCTGAATTAATGTTTTTTTTCATAAGATTTCGACAAATTCTACAGAACAATAAATATTCCATTTTATGTACAATATTGAAAATAATAAAAATGTTCTTACTTTTGCAATAATTGCCGACAACAATAATTTGTAATTAAAAATATAATTTCTCTAATATATTTTCATTACAAAATACTTTGTATACAAAATATTATTGAAAAATTGGATCATTATAAAAAAGAGAATTTAAAATTTATGCACGAACATATATGTACTCGTAATTATAAATATTTTACTTTAAATAATCAATACTTAAAAAAAGAAAAAATATTAAATTCAATTTTATTTAATTTTTCCCAACAAAGTAAAAAATAGAAACAAAACAGTAAAAAAAGTGATGTTATTT